TTTAAAGTTAAAATAAAAATTTAAAAATTTATTATAATAGGAAACATTTCAAATTCATGTGAGGGTGAACACAAAGCTGAAAATAATTAGAAATTTAAAAATTTGAATTTGATATTATGAATCAAGACAATTACAATATACATTAATGAACTTTTCAACGAACTAAAGGAGGTTTCTTTAACATATTCTTTGTATTAAAATCATATACACTTTTCAATAAATATTATTAACTCATAAATTAAAATATTTTTTTATATATATTTTAATTCAAAATACATAAATTAGTACATAAAGAGTATTATAGTAAAATTTATATTAATCTGTTCAGTACTTATACGTATCAACAATATGTTACAAAAAATGTATAAAAAAAATATGTAACAAAATTACTTGTATTGTCCTTCAATTATCAAATAGTAAAAAAACAAAAAAAAGTTTATATTATACCTCAACTAATTATGCCATCCTATTGTCTTGTATTATTCCTCATTATACATCAAATACAATTTTAAGGGATGTGTCTATTTATTTAAGGGAAAAACTATTCTCATGTTGTATGAGATAAGTTTTCTCTCGTACACACCCTTCGATAACTGTGCCAGCTTTTTCTTTTATTTTATTTTTTTAGGTGGTGGAACCCACAAGTTTATCTCTATGACATGAGATAACTTATCTACTTTAACATGAGATTAATAAAACACTTATTTTAAACTAAATATGTTCAATGAACCCACAATTGCGTAATAGCACTCTTTTTGTTATTGTTAGTTTTTAAAAGAGGTAGGATCCTTAAAAGAGGTAAGAGCCGTTAGATAAAAAAATATCAATGGTGTCACATGCTTACAAATCAGAGTCGTTGATATTTTTTGATCTAACGACTCTCAGATGAGGTGTCAAACTTTAAATTTGACACCAGTGTCAAAGGATCCTGCCTCTTTTTAAAAACTTTTTATATAAATTTGCGAATCCATAAATGGAACGCAGCTGGAATCACTAACAAAAATAAGCAAGAGCAAAAGGAGATAAAAAAGAAGAAGAAAAGATTGCAATTTGCAAGGCCACTTTCTTTATTTCTGCATCCTTCCTTTGCCCTTATCTCGTGGAACCTCCTAAACAAGATAAAAAGAGATTAACAATACTGCAAGCAACATCAAAATATCTTCTTAATCAGAACCAAAATATCTCAATTGCCAACAAATCCTATGTAACTCCTATTGATTTCTTCTTTGGTTTATTTTTAAGCTGCGTGACAATTATCTAACTCTATCTCCAATTTTTTTTCCTAAAATTTGAACTCTTATGTCACTTGAATAAACTCTCAAGAATCACATAAAAATAAATGGTTATATATTTATCATGTTACTGTTTGTTCCTACAGACACAATAAGAATATGGAGATCACAAGTTTTTTTCTTCCTCGTCTCACTTTCTCTCTCTTCTTTATTATATCCGCATGAAAGTTATTTTTATTCCTACAACATAAGACATATATAACCCAAAAATAAATTATCATGAAAAGTTTTCCTATTTATTTTGGGCTCATAGTTAGGGTTGGCAAAACGGGCCAACCCGGTCTAACCCGTATTCAACCCGTAAAAAACGGGTTGGGTTAGGGTTGACCCGAAAAAATAAACGAGCCAGAATACCCAACCCAGCCCGACCCGAGCCGGGTTAGGGTTGACTCGCGGGTTGGCTCGATAATCAGCTCGCGGGTTGGCTCACGGGTTGGCTCAAAAAAATTGATTTTTGTGGAACTAGTCTTATTTGTTCTCCAACACTGCTAAAATTATCAACACTGCCAAAAGGTTCCAACTTTGATCTCTTCAAAGGTACCCAGATTGGAAAAAGAAAAAAGATTGAAGTAACAAATCTTATAATGTCAACAACATCGAAGAAGAACAATGAATCCATTTTCATATATATATTGGGGAAAAATAAAAAAGAAAGATGAGAAATATAGAGAAAAGGGTATTGCACCTTGGGAGTAGTGGATTGCGTTTGTCAAGAGAATAGGCCAATAGACCTGAAGATGCAAGGTTAATGGTAACAGGGTGAACAAGCTATCCAAGGGGGCAGAAGAATCTTAGGGTTAAGGAAAGTGACGAGTGACGACGATGTGAGCGTATGACAGTTTTGGAGTTTTCATATTATTATTATTATTTTTTTAATACAGTCATATTATTTTTTTTAATTAAAAAAAATACCCAACCCGCGAGCTGGCTCGTTTGACCCGCGGGCTGGCTCGTTTGGGTCTGGGTTGTATCGGTTCGGGTTGAGTCGGGTTGGCAACTCATTTAGGCCAACCCAACCCGACTCATTTAAGACGGGTTGCGAGCCAACCCGACGGGTTGGCTCGTTTTTGCCATCCCTACTCATAGTTGTCACTTGAATAAACTCTTATGATTTGGTTCAGCTTTTATATATCACATAAAAATAAATCATCATGAAAAGTGTTTCTAGGTAGACACAAAACTGGGGTAAATAAAGTCTTAAGGGGGTGTTTGGTGCAGGTGCAATTTTTTTTATTAGAGAAATGTAATTACTAGGGATCTGCAGGGAAAATGAGTTATGTAAGAAAGTTAAAAAAAAGATGTTTGGTTGGACAAAATATTATCGAAAAAATTGGGTGAAATTCCTGAATTTATGTTTGGTCGAAGATAAAATATTGATGGAAAACCAGGTTAAAATTATAAAATAACCCTTTACTATATTTTAGTTATAACTACTGTTGTTATTTCCAGGAAGAGAACTTGTTGGCCTTCCACGTGTTCTCTTGTCGTGCCTCATGAACCATTTATTTATCATCCCCGTATCTTGTGTCTATGAGGATAAAACTGAAATGGGCAAACGAGTTGTGTGGATATATGGTTATGTTACAGAAGATGTGGTGACTGGTTACAGAATGCACAACAAAGGTTGGAGATCTGTGTACTGTGTTACAAAAGGGATGCTTTTAGAGGAACAACTCCAATCAATTTGACAGACAGACTCCATCAAGTGCTTCGTTGGGCAACAGAATCGGTTGAGAAAAGGGTAGTTTTGGCAGTTTGTATTTTCACCATTTTCACTTAGCTAGTCATCCATGGAATACCACCATAGAAATAGGATTTCAGCGCCCACTTTTTGGTCCAATTTTACATATAAAGCTGAACTGCTAGAGAAATCAGTTAGCTAGGCAAATTTTTTAAAAACCTGTACCAAATATGGACAATCTATTTACCCACTTTCAGATGCCTAGCAAAATTTCAAAATAACTTCTACCAAACACACCCTAAGAGCCGTTTTTTTTGGATTCTACCAGCATTCGAACCAGGACCAGTATGGTGTTGTCCTCCAACAAGCAACAACTACCACATTGACCACGAATGCTAGTAAGAGCCGTTTTATGTAACATGTTCTAAGCATACAAGTTTTAAGTTCAATTTTCTTTTACTCTTTCAGCATTGTTGTCTTTTGAATTATCATTTCAGTCTAGCTATTATTACTAGCTATATAAACTTGTTTGGAATGATGAAATTGAAATATCAGTGAATTTCTTTGGGTCAAACTGAGAGTGCAAAATTACACCAAATGATGGTAGCTCAGTTGGTGTCAGGGAATTGAGCAGGTGAAAGCTATGATGCACCGACACTTCAAAAATTCTGACGTATCGTGTCCGACACTCTAATACGCATTGTAGAGATTCAAAAACGGGCTCAAAGTTTGTGTTGCATTGCATTTTTAGTTCTAACTATTAGATTTGTTGGATTACGATTTCCATTTTATTGAATTTAAATATAAATATTTGGGATATCTTATGTTTCTTTGTAAAATTGATGGGTATTATAAGTTTGGCTTCATTTTTTTGTTAAATTGTTGAATATTAAATATAATATACACTATATAAATTAAAAATATTATTTAATATCAAAACGTGTCCTAGCGTGTTGAAATCTAATATTTTTAGAATTAACGTGTCGGAGTGTCGTGTCGTATCTCGTGTCCCGTGCCAGTGTCGGTGCAACATAGAATACGAGTGAGAGCATGCGTTTGATCCTCTTAGAAGTGAGAGTGTGTTTGATCCTCTCAGTATTGTCTTTGGGAGGAGTTTGAAACCTTAATCTCATCAGACTAGTCGCGAAACAATGAATCGATTGGAATATTAAAAAAAAATACAAAATTAATGAATGAAAAACATACAAAGTGGCGTCGCCCAAACTCAAACCGGAGACCTTCGGTGTGTGTTAGACTGACGTGATAACCAACTATACGATGACACAAATATGAACTTGTTTTTCCAATCGATTTCTTGCGAGCGCTGGGAAGCAAAGCAACTCTTATAATCTCATGAGTGATGATATTAAATTCAACAATTCAAGTTCTTTACAAATAATTTTGTATATTATTATTTAACAATTTAATGATCAACAAAGTTTAATTTTATAAAAGGGCAAGACTATAAGAATTTCTATCATTTAACCTTTGTGGTTGTCTGGTTGATAAGTCATGATGTCCTCGGGCTTGAGTTTATTAAATGATATTTGCGGTTGCGGAGATATAATTTTAGGAAACAATATTTATTATTTTAAAGCATATAAACTGAGTGTATTTTAGTGATTTTTTACCTTCTCTTTTATATAAATATTATTTTTTCTCTTATCTCCTAATTTTGTGAAAGAAAAAGAATATAAAAAATATTAAATATGTATCAAAATACGATTATTTCACTTAAAATAATATAAAATATTTTTTAAAATAACAAACATTTTGCCCATAATTTTACTACGTCTATACAAACGTCTATACAAAATTAACTTCACATTGAAAAAAAAAAACAATTTGGAAAGTTAAAAAAAATAAAATAAAATCCCAAAGTTAAGGTGAATTATCATAAGGACGATTAGGGAAGGGTAGGTAGAAGAGGCAAAGCAAAAATTGAGGGGGGCATTTTCGTACTTTCAGTAAAAATTATATTTCTGAGATCAAAATCATCAAAATTTGATTCGAAGGTTTTGTGCAAAACCCTGTTCTCTTCTCTGCTTCTGCTTTTCCCTAACGTTGGCCTCTGAGCATTTTCTCGAATCTGGGTATGTTCCGGTTTTCTCCTTTACTTGGATGATTTATTACTTTCTTGCTTTTATTCTATTCTTCAATGGCTTTATTTATTTATTTATTTATTTTCCTTTAGCATGATTGATTTTCAATTTTCATCCTCTTTTGTGTTGTGTGTTAACTATTTTGAGTATTGGGAATCTGGGATTTGTTATATGTAACCTATTCTGTGATGGGTCTTCTCTTTTTTATGGTAAATTATTTTCATATGAATAAAAATGTGATTTTTTAATGTATTTTTTGTATTTGAAGATGGGTGCTTTTGTGTTCCTTACTATGTGGTTCATGTTAGACCTGAAGCATTTCTAGGGATTGGAATTTCATGAGCTTATATTTTGTGGCTTTACTTTCTAGTTATATCAGTGCATGTTTCTGCGTGTTCCTCAAACATGGTTGAAAGGTGGAGAACAGAAACATGATGGCAAGTTTTCCTTGACGGAGCTGAGCTGCAACAATATAGATTAGTTGTGAATTGTGGTAGCCTCCTACTTTGATTTGTTTAAACTTGAATTTGTATTTAAAACATACTTGGGAGTTGGGAGTTTGATTCTTAAAATGTTTATGATTAATTGATTGGTCAACGGTCACTGAAATGAATAATTACTGTTGATTGATTATTTGATATTTGCATTTGTTATTATGTAGTAGATGTTATTTGGAAACTATACAGCCTTTGCATGTTTACTTAAACTCTCAAGTTTTATCATCCTTTTAATATAACTCTAACTAAACTGTCATTCATGGTGTTCAAAGCTTATTTATGTAGTTCTCATGGAAACTGAATCCATGATATTCATTCCCAATCACAAACAAATTTGATGTAGTATATCTCAAAATGTACATTGATTTTATATAAAACTGGAGTTCTAACTTAGAAGACACTTGGTTGATGCAACACTGTTATCTGAAGTAGCTTTCTAGTGTACCATGTCTAATTTTCTTTTCTTTTTAATTGAAAAACAAGAAAGATTGCAGTTAATGATGTAGAACAATTATCGAGTTTTAATAATAATTCATTTGTCTTTTGCTAGAGTAAGGAATGGGTGACAAGAAGAAGAAGGCTCAGATGTTTGTAAAACTAGTGTCTGCTGCTGGGACTGGATTCTTCTATGTTAAGAGGAAACCAAGGCAGTTTACAGAGAAGCTTGAGTTTCGAAAATATGATCCTAGGGTTAATCGTCATGTTCTGTTTACAGAGGCTAAAATGAAGTGATAGGGCAACTTTCATGTTTGCCTTTCATTGTAACTGCACCAATCCTGTACTGCTTTTTTAGACAATTATCATATTTTGTATTAGAAGTTGAATAATACCAACTTCTTTTTTTTTACTGTTTCTATCTCTGTTCTTTTTCTATTCAGATTAAGTTTTTCATATTTGAGGGTGAGCCTTGATCAGCGGTAAGGTTGTTTCTTGGGACTGGAATGTCACATTTGTGTTTGAGAAATAGTCTCTTTGTAAGAATACGAGGGTAAGAATGCGTGCAAGTAACCCTCACTTTTATCTTCATAAGTCCAGGAACCTTATGTACCGGGTTTGCCCCTTTGCCAGTTTTAGTATTTGGTATTTGTTTCTGTTGTGATGTTTATGCTTTTGGTTGATTAAAAATGGATTTGGATTCTCCCATTTTCTTTGAATAGAACAATGAAAGTCACCAACTACTACTGTTATGTGTAGTACTTGGTGGATGCACAAGTAATAGTGGGTCTATTATGCATTAAAAAGTGTGTGCCTTTTTCTGAAAATATCCAAATCTATTAATAATTACTGTGTTTTATTATGAATTGGTTATCTGCCATTTTTTATTTTCTTTTACTAAAAATGTTTTCTTCAATGGATTAATATTATAATTTAAATTTCAAACTAATGCTAATGCTAATAATTTTTCCGCTGAATACAGTTAATGATTTATTTTTGAAGTTTCTAAACCGCATCTTAAACCCAGAAAAAGATGGATAGAAGTGTAATTTCAATCCAAACGTAGTAGGAACGCCTAGTATTGAGTTTATTCGGAAAATATCAAGTGAAATTATTTTTGAGTGTAGTAATTTCTTAGCGTAGTATTCTTTAATAAGAATAAAAAAACTGGCATTATGTTATCAAAAAAGAAAAGAAAAAAACCTGGCATTATGTCATGTACCCCAAAGAAAAATGCATCGTATTTTGTATAAGCATATTATTTAATAGGATTAAATAAGTTAAATTAGACATCTTGGACAAAAATAACAAAAAAAAGTCGTTTTTGTACATACATTAGATGGGTTAGTTGACTGTTGAGACATGATAAATCATTCACTAGAATTAGGTATATGATGCATGCTGCTTTGTTGGTGTAGAAAATCTCATTTACATAGTAGACATACAAAGAATGTGTGTGTGTGTTATACTTTATTGCATATGAATGTCTGACGAATTCAACGATAATATGAATAATATATGAAGAAAAATTAATTTAAGTAAGCATCAATTCGTCAGGATGGCCGAGTGGTCTAAGGCGCCAGACTCAAGTTCTGGTCCTCGTGAGAGGGCGTGGGTTCAAATCCCACTTCTGACATTTTAAGTTTCCTCTCTAATTTTTGGATTTGATATCGTATTAACATAAGAATAATTAAAAATAGGAGATATTTAATTGAAACCTGGTGTTTAGATTCACAGAAGCATCCATGTATCTCATACTATTATTTTTTTTTTCTTTTATTCTTACCAAATCGTGAGTTTATATTCCCTGAAAATCAGTTTGTCTACTACAAATTGAAAGAGAAAATCGCAGTTTTTTTTCGTAATGCAATTTTATTTTATAAAATTAATTGTTAAATTTTTCCTCCTGATTTTGAAGGCACACCAAATTCATCCCTAGTATGATAACATTAGTTTTGATATGAGAAATGAGAAACTGAAAAAATGCATCAAATCTGAAGTCAGCTTTTACTCAACTTGAAGAGTTGTTGATACACATCCTATCCTACAGTGGTTGTGTAGAAACCAAATTTGAGACTACTTTTGAGAATGAAAGTTCGTTCATAATTTGCTATTACAACATAAAATATACAATAAGCTGGGTTAGGCATCTTATTCCTTGATTTCATTCCCATAAACCAGCTTTATATTCATGGCTAAATCTTCAATACTTTGCATACAGCCGTTGGAACAAGTTTCAGCTCAATACAAACCTTGATTTTGTTGTTAAATTTTGTTAAGTTTCTTCGTGAGTAATGATAAAAACAATTTCGTATTTTAATAAATCAAATTAAAACTGATAAGATAGTCTTACCATGATAAATTATATCCAATATTAATATACTCACAAAGGCTAGCTTTATAATAAAGCCATTGCACCGTTTCAGAATCACTACAGTTCAAAATTCATATTCTCTCTTTTTTTCGAAAGGAGGAGGTGATGGATTTACAATCACCCCAAAAGCACTTAAGTATAGTAACCTTAGAGTTAGAAAGATATACAAAGAATAAAAAAAAAAAAAAAATTAATGGCAGCCATTCCATTCAAGGCTGAAATGTACTGAAGGTTTCGAAGTTCAAAACAAAGGCTTAAAGGCTACAGGCTGGAAATATGATTTCAGCATAGCCATTTACAAAATTAGCAGCACCCTGATTCATTATTTTAGCCACTAGCTTTGATGTCTTTGTCTTGATCTATTTCAGTTAATGTACTCATGTTTATTTTCTTTCAAATTTCATGCATATATGTATGCATTTGAGCATTTTCTGAATACAACTTCAATTAGAGCCAAACTCCTCATTCCAGCGCTCAAGCTCTTCCCACTTGCTTTTGTTTAGGCTTGGTCTGATGACAGCCATTGCCTTCTTGAAATCCTCGTACCTCAGTCCTCTTACCTGGTAAAACCGAAAAATAGTTAACAATAAAGGAAGGTTTTTCACTTACAAGAGTTGATACTAATCCACATCTAAAATTATAGCAATTTCAAAATAGCATGCCTGATTTGCCTTGACAGTAAGAATGTCAGCACCAAGCTCTCTAATTGGCATCATTGCAGCTTCTTCACACAAGGCTTGCAGATCACTTCCAGAATATCCTGCAAACCAAGAATAACAATCACAATGGCCATATTTTTTTTATTTTATTTTTTAAAAAGAAAAAAAAGAAAGAAAAAATTACTAGGAAAAGAATTACCTTCTGTCTCTTTTACAAGCCTCTCTAAATCTCCACCTATAACACACAAAACCTAAATTTTTAGTTAAAAACAGAGCAGTGCAAGTAATAGCATAATACAATGATAAATTCTTGAGCTTTATTTTGCGAAAGATGTCAACGAAGAAAGTTACAAGCATGCAAAAGAGAACACAGACTCAATAATTTTTTTTGCATGATCGGTTGATGCGATTTCCGGTGTCTTGTTTGGCTAACAATTAACAAGTATATAGTTTGTGCAAATTTGGCAATAAGTTTTATACAGAACCAGAATAAATGAAGGTCCAGTCACCATAGAACCAGAACACGCTAGAAGAAAATATAACAAGAAAACATGTACTTAGTGGCACCATAGAATACACAAATCAAGAGGAGAAGTTTCAGAAGAAAATAGAAGAAAATAAAAACAAAAATAATTAGAGCACATTGCTTACTAGGTAAGGAGAATGCTTGACCCTTGAGTTTGTGTTTTAACAGAAGTTTCCGAACATTTTCTTCTGGTAAAGGTATGTATATTCTCTTTACCTAGTTAACATTTCACAGTAAACCCAAGAACACAGTTAGTAAAGAAGATGCCTGTGGTTCAAGCTCATGACAACTACTATCCATGTTATACAATTATGCATAGATTTCAATTGAACAAATGGCATGTCTCTTTACAAATATACTTCAAAGGGTTTTACTGATTTTTTTTTTTCCTTTTTATTTGAAGAGTTAAAAGTTTCTGTATATAACATTTCAGAAAAGTTTTAGAAGGAATGATAAAATAGAACATAAGCCAGCGGGAAAGAAGTACATGATTGCCATATTTCCATGCAAATAGAAATTCCATACAAAGCAATTGTTAGGAGCCTAAGGAATTTGTCAAGGTACATAGAAGAGACTATTGATTAGAAGTTTACGGTTCACCAATAACGGACATGCTACAATCAACAAAGGTCTATATGCAACATAGAAGATCATGCGTTATAAAAAAATAGGGATGCAGTCTTTAACCTATAACATAATATTATCAACCAGAAGGTTTCTCATTCATATGACCATTTTAAGCCACTATTCATTATAGTAGACAGAATCACATTTATCAACTACTTAAGGTAGAACAACCAAACTCTGAGGATTCTCCTATAACAAGACACATAATAATCATTGAGTTAAAAAAAAAGCATCATTCCCTGTATAATACTTCACATCAACAGCCAAAAAAAAAAAAAACTTCTCATCAATGAGAAAAAAATGATAAAACATTCATTACTCTCCATTTAAAATCACATCAGCAACTTGAATTCTTGAACTATATTATATTCTCTACACTTTCAGTATTAGGAAACTGAATAAATTCTCACCAGTCTCCTAAGAACAGCATCATCCAATTCTTGTGGCTTATTAGTCGCACCTATATTCAGAAGGGAAATGAAATTTATAAAAGTTCAATTAGACTACAGATACACAACCAGGAACTCAATTATCTATACTCTATGATTTGGTTAGCTTAAGTTATTTTGTGAAATAAAAAAAAAATCTGATGAAGCAAGCAATTCCAGATCTACAATAGCCAAAATTCAGTCTTAATCCATCCATATACAGATACCACATTCATAGGAGGCCAGATTACAATGGCAACCATGCCAAAAAAGGAATTAGTATTGTTTTCAACATACCACAAACTGTAAGAGATTGAGATACAACTGAATTTAAAAGTGAAAAAAAGAGGAGAATATAATAGTTGTGTCATGGTCCCATGGTGTTCCAAAAGATGAGAACAAACAGTCCCAAAGCCCATCAACCAATTTTAATTGCACTATACATGCTTAAAAAACAAAATGACATTACATTCATCAAGCAGTTTACAGAAAACTCCAGTTACAATGTTCCCATGAATTTTTCAAATTCCAACACTCCCTAGCAATGTATTTTAACCATTAAATGTCATTTGCCATAGGGGAACCAAGACCAGAAACTGTAACTATTCCAAAGAAGCTAAGCAAGAGCCCTGCTCATGGCAGACGTGTCATTTGCCAAAGGGAAACCAAGACCAGCAACTGCAAGTATTACAAAGAAGCTAAACCACTCATGGTAGATATGTTATTCTGCTAATTACCAGCAGATTGGATCTAAAATCTAAATCATACTCATTTCTAGAAAGAGAACGATTAAGTATCATCAGATGTAATGCTTACCAATTACAATCACAATATCATTAGGATTGGAAGTCACTCCATCAAACTGGATAAGAAATTCAGATTTTAATCTTCTGCTGGCATCATTCTCACTTGCCAACCTTGTTGACATTATACTATCAATCTGTTATCAGTAAAAAAAAGGGAATTAATATTGTTTAGAGTGGAGACCAAATTTACACAAGCAGCATGCAACCTTTTCTTTCAGCTTGATAAATTCACCCATTTAACTAGTATGGCTTCAGGAAGAGAAAATTAACTGTTAAACAAAACAAGATTGAGACAATCAATGATAATGCTTGTTGAACGATGCTGGGAGACAGACAACGTTATGAACCCACATTGACTAATGTGATAAATAAATCATCTATGTCACTCAAAAATGACATAGCGTAGCTTACAAGCATCATCAGTCTTAACAAATATCTCAAGTCATTAACCTAGGTTAATTAGAAGATAAAAACACCCAAGACAATTTTTATCAAAAGGGATCCTTAGCTACACAAATTTAAAAACTGTGTTCTTAAGAATTATAGTCCAAACAAAACCAATTCGAGTTGGAATCTGAATCAAGTGTCAGACAAAAATCATGGGAATACAATGGGCCTGTTTGAAGAGATAGTAAACAATGTCCTTCAAGAATTGATTCTGAAGTAGTCAATTACTTCTAAAGCAAGCTACAATAGATGTATTGTCCCTAAACATATTCTTCCATGATAATCTGTCTTGTCATATTTAGAAGGGGGAGGGGTGGGGAGAGCCATTTCTCTATTCTATACACGAGACAGATACCTCATCCATGAAAATTACAGATGGCTGTCTGGATACAGCTACCATGAATAGTGTCCGGACAAGCTTTTCTCCTTCACCCACCTATTGAGGTATGAGTTAAACATGATTAAACTTCTTAACTCTTAAGAATTACATAATCACATTAACATAAGAAATGAAATGAAAGTCAACACAAACAAGTTCAGGTACATAGAGACATACCCATTTTGATGTCAAGGAAGCTGCCGACACATTAAAAAATGTTGCTTCGGATTCTGAAGCCACTGCTTTGGCAAGCATGGTCTTTCCATTACCAGGCGGACCAAAGAGAAGCAACCCTATAATAAAAAAGTTCAGCAGTTTCAATATTTGAAATTTTCATTCTCCAATTTTCTCCATTATCTATTATATAACCAAATGTACGAGGTTCCAAGGCATTACCTTTAGCTGGCCTTCGAAGACCAGTGAACAAGTCTCTTCTCTTAGTTGGCAAAATAACCATCTCCATTAGAGCTTGTTTTGCTTTCTCAAGCCCAGCTGCATTTCCACAGTAAGAATCAAACAACTGATAACACATAACGAAAGAGATAAAAGCAAATGTGCATAGATTCATACCAACATCTTCCCATCTAACAGAAGGACTTCTATCTACTATGGCAGTGTTAATCATTTCAACAAGTTTTGTGTCATAATTTGCACCAGACGCTTGACTAGATTTTGGGCTTCCAACTTTATTCACCTGACCTGTTGTTTGAGGAAACTTCTGCAACACATTGTTTCTAGTATTTGATGGTTTAATTGGAACTGCAGCAGTTTGTGCAATTTTTGAGGTGCTCTGCAAACATTTTTGGGGAAAACCAGAAAAGGGAAGAAATATTAAAGGTTCATTATAATCATAAAATTAGTACCTAGTCCCAACATACAGTAAGAACATACAATGCAAACAGTAAGGCCAAACATTCTCAACATTAGTCAATAAACTTATTATCTAAAATGACAAATATAACTTTCTACATGGAAGTCTAATAGGAAACTCCACATTTATAATACAAAATACAATGCCAACAGCTAATATATTTCCAATAATGATATTGTGCAAGACCCATTTGTCAAACAAAAGATGCTTACATTTTAGAGTCAGAAAGTAAAAAAATTAAGTACTATGCTAAAAACACTTTCTGTTTTAACAAGCACCAACTTCATTGAGCCAAAAAGGACTAAAAGACAAAATTTCAAACTTACAGTTTAGCTAGATCATTGCATACCTGATTGGCAGATGAACTACCTGAAATGGTAAAAAGGGAACAGGAAGAAGTGGAGGATAACAAAAAACAGTAAGCACTTTTGGAAAGTTTATAATTGGGAGGGAAAAAAAATACTGTTGCCCAAACAAATATACACCTGCTCGTCTACTGAGACTCTGTAATCTGTCAGAAACTTGGCCCTGCCATTTAGATATCTTTTGACGATATGATTGCACCTTCTGTTGTTCACTGTCACAGAATCATTAATTTCAGTAAGCAAACAACAAAAACATCATAAGAACTATCCTTTGTCATCACATTATTAAGAATATGGTGTAAATGAAGTGATGGACTATCATCTGAGCTGCTACAAAGCCAAAGATGCTCCTTTAAGATGAAATCACTGAATTCTGGTGCAATTTGGAAGCTGGAAAAATGCTTCAAAATAAAAAGGAGGAATGCAAGAGACCAAAAATTTGAAAATGCCCTTTTCTCATTAAAAACTCAATTGACACCATTTAAGCAATAAAGACGCTTCTATGTTGTTCAACTATTAAGAACAGTTGTAAATGGACTACGTCCAAGATGGTACAAAGCTAAGGACAACCCTTTGGAATTAAATCACTAAGTTCAGGTGCAATTCCAAAATCCAAGCATTCCTTATTCTTTTTGAAAAATTTCAATTGATAAGATTCAAATTTTTGCCCACGACATAAAGATTTAAAAAAAAAAATGCAAACTTAAGAACCTAATTTACCCCATTTGTCACCTCCTTCATTTTTTTCATCAACAGAATAAAAACCCCCCAACACTATTTCTAAACACCCAGCATAGAAAATCACTCAAAAGAGACAAACAAGTGAAATTTCATACTACCACTTCCTTCAAATTTTTAAATTTATTATTTATTTAACTTCTCACCAACCCAATGAAAAACCCAACATTATTAGCAAACACCCATTATAGAAAATCACAGAAAACAAAAAAATAAAAGTTTCATCGAAAATTCTGAGAACCTGGAAGTGATGAAGGAAGGAACAGGAGTTGAATTAGCCTCGAGGAGGATCCTTTGAGCGTTCTTGTAGTGAAGAAGAGCGTCGTCGATCAAGCCCCACTCTTCAGCCCTAACTGCCTTTGCGATCTCTTGCGTGGCCAAATCGTAGTACCCTTTGAGCTTGTAAGCTACGCGTTCGTTTGAAACCGAAGACGGAGAAGCTTCCATTCCTGAAGCTGTGAGATTGGGGTGAGATTGAGAAGAAGTAGAAGAAGAAGGATCGGGAGAGAAGATGGAGCTAAACGAATCCACTATTCCCTGTAAGAAACTCATCCCTCGTAAACGCGATTTTCATCATAAGCGATTCCTGCACTCGTGTTTGTTTGGAGAGTTGTGTGTATTTGTGTTTGTCTTTTTGACAATTAATGTCTATAATGTCGTAGGAGATACACCACACCAGTCTTTAAAAATCCGCCCAGCCATCCAACCGATCGAGATCAGAGGTTTATTGGTTCAATTGAGAAATTACGGAGTCACTATGTTGAGTGCTCACCCAGTTTTATATATTAAAAAATTATAAATATAAAAATTTAAAAAATAAATCATCAATCATCAAAGATTGAAAATATACTTAACATAATTCACTAATTACAATTACAAGTCAATATTATACAACCTAATTAAAGTATCAAGATACCAAAGTACAAAACTCATATTCAAACAGAGTTAATGAAAAGTAACATCATCAAATTCAGGCTCACCAAGATACCATTTAGGTTTGCAAGTATTTTTATTTTTTATTTTTTTATTAAAACGACGTTGTTTCATAAAATTTTCTTTAAAAAAAAAAAACATCCAGTGACCCCTCTCATTCGGGAGTCACTGAAACTCGGTCGAGTTTTGGGAGTCGGAGGGCTTGATATACATATAGGGTCCAACTTGTGACCCTAACCCTCATAGGGGAGTCACTGAAACTCGGCCGAGTTTTGGGAATCGGAGGGCTTGATATACATATAGGGTCCAACTTGTGATCCCAACCCTCATAGGGGAGGAGTCAGGGTTGATCCGGTTCAACCGGGGGCGGAACAAGATTTTAAAACACTGCACCACACATATACAAAATTGTATTTAATGTGGGTCTCACTCAAAAAAACAAAAAAAAAAAACAAAGTGGAGTTATTTTTTTTGTGAGAGTAACATAACCCTAAAAGTGTCTTACAATATGACATATATAAAATCCTTTCTTTATTTATGTTATTTCATATCATATCCACACAAATATTTTTATGTGTATATAGTAGATAAAATTATCTCCTATAATATCAGAAATAATAATCCCTTAATTGTGAGGAATGTTTTTTTTTTAAGTTCTTCCGGAACATTGCAAAATTACTTATTGTATTTAATTTGATTCTTTATAAATATATATTTGATTTGATTTTCTTATTGATAAAAGCTTGTGAAAGCAGTAACATGCCTCTTTTCTAGTTATGAATTGTTAATTTTGTAAGAAGAGGACAAGGGACGATGGTGATAGGAGGGACATCAATCACATCAGCCACAAGTGTGATTCATATTTCAGTAACAAGAATAATCATATGTAGTTGCATAGAGTCAAGTAGAAATTTTTTAAGCGAAATCTGTCTTTTAAATAAAAGAGAAAAAAGTTGAGCATTTAGAATTTGTGGCAAATGTAAATGATGTCCTCCTATCATCAATGTTGCTTCTGTAAGTCATACCAAAAAAATAAAAATAAAAATTCTCATGACCAAACCAGTTATGGAAGAGACATTTGCTTGATTTGATCTATGCACCAACTAATTAACTTTTATACTGTTTGCTACCACAACTTTGTGACTAATGATTTCATGACACGTGGTATATTTTCGTAAGAAAAGTTGAGTGGATCAAATTCGCTACTAGTGATAGCAAACTTGGTACGCTACGTGACACATGAATAATGCCACATGACAAGAAATCATTAACAACGAAGTTCGTTACCAATGATAATGAACTTTGACGCGTGTCAGTTTGATAAAATGTACCATTCACGTGACATATGAATAAAAAATTTGGTAAATAGTGCCACTCTTCCCAACTTTGGGGCTTTGTGCCATGATCAACATGTACAATTCAGTCAAAATATGAATTCTCTTCCAACTGAAGCTTCTATACTTTATAGGTCTATTATATCTTCTTCTTTTCTTACAATTTCTTATAACCATTTTCTTTATAGTTGTATCAAAACTAAATTAATGATTATAAAATGACATTAAATAAAAATTGTTGATTTAATTTAATCCAACGATAAATTATAAACAAAAATAAATTATAAATATATCCCCAGCTTAAACATGTTTATAATATATAAAAGTTGAAGCACGACGCAATTTGAGTTGCCACTTCTGCTATTGGAACCTTTCTTCATTTGAAAGGCCAACATTTATTTACCATCTTTGGTTATCATAACGCTTCTCTTCCTTTTAGTCACTTCAGCAAATTTTGAGGATTCTACCCTTAGACGTTTGGAGTCTGTTAAATTTTCGTACAATATCTTTTTCTCGATTCATTTCATCATTAAATTCTCAGTATTTTCAGGTTCTCATTCATGTAATAATGGCTGATCTACTTTATTTGATGTATTAATATCTAATTTTGAAGCCTCAATCGCAATGTGATTGGCCTCTCAAATTAAAGAAACGGGAGTGAGACGAGATACATTAAGATTTTGACACACAATTATAGCATTAATCTTGGTAAATTTTGACGTTACTTCATTGAATTGCTAATTCATTTGTTTAATTTTAATTTTTTATTTATTTATTTTTCCAGTTCAAACTTTTCTGTCTAACTAGATTAAAAGATTTCAACCAGTTCTTCAAATTTCACTCTCACAACACAGACTATTTCATTGATTTCTTCAATGATAAATTAAACTGAAAAAGTGCAATTAATCATTTCCCCCCTTTAATAGTAGTCGTCGCTTACTCGTACAAAGTGAATTTGCAAATGGCGTATGAAATGGGAGGGTGAGAAAGAAGCAAGCCTGCACCCAAAACTTCATTTAGTCTCAAATGTTCTCCAAACAATAATTAAACTGGAGATATGAACAGCAAAGTCGTATTCAAAGGATAGGGAGAACCAATGGAATTGAAAACAGAAACTTAGTGGTTCAATTTGATTACATGAGATACCCTTTCAAAGAAGATGGGGCACATGGTTGGGCTGAACATGATGTCCTCCCTCATCCATTCTGGAGCTACTCTTTCAAATGTGCCTAGAGATAGAACATGGTACAGTAGCTCTGCTTCCTCTCCAGGTGCTTTGCTAATCCACGTTAAATTGAAGGAGTAGCCTATCATGATTGCAATCAAAAGAAAATGTTAACCAAGCACTTACATATCTGCAAATGTTGAATGGCTAGAATTTTATTAAAATTTTAAACAATAAGCTGTGGCGGCAGTATAGATTCTCCATAACTCTTTCTCCACCAAAAAATAAATAAGATTCTTCATAAACTCCAACTATGATTAGTTTTGTCCAAAAGTGACCCACAAATGAAAACAGACTGCAGTACAGGTTATCGTTGAGGAGTTTCTTATTGAACTGAGAATAAAATAATCAACTTTTCAGAGTTAAAAACCAGCAAAAGTGATCCACAGGGTGAATGATTTTACAAAACCAAAGCATCTAAAAAATAAATCTGACACTTGTTTGTTTAGCACCAAAAACCAATCTTGTTTGTTTAAAGAGAATTGGAGAAAATGGAGACCGGACAATATGGAAGAGGAAAATATTTTCAACTGTTAGGGATATGAAGCAAAAACAAAAAGGAGAAATTTTGGTTAAAGTGAGTAAACGAAGTTTTTTTCCTTCTCAACCAAATCAGAAAGAGAATGGGGAGAACTTGAGCAAAAAGTCTACACATGATATATTAATTGCCAAATTGCACTCAAACATTGGTCTTTTTCAACCCCAAACCAAGGACTCTGTCTCTGATGCAGCCAGCAGAAAAAAACTAGAAGTCATAAGTTCAAAGATCCATAGAAGCACCAAACTTTTTATCAACATAGCTAATCCGAGGATCTCTGAGAAACTTGGTAAATTCATCAGCTAATTGATCTTTTGAATTGACCAAGTTTAGTTGCGATGCATCAAAATAAAATCTTCTCTTAGACAAAGTGACAATCTACTTCTATATATTTGGTCCTATAATTGAAACATTGTCTTAGAAGCAATATGCGAAGCTCCCTAATCACATTAGTTGGCTCTACATTAAATTATGAATTACCGCTTGATTGATGCAGTGCAGAGAGGCATATTCGTCCAGTTTGATAGTCAGTGGATAATTTCATGCCCAGTGCATACTCAAATAGAGCTTGAATAAGCCAGTAACAATTGCCACTTTCCTGTAAATCAACGCCTGTAAAACACAATGAAGGATATATAAAATAGGGTTTTATAAGAGTTATGTTGTAGGAAAAGTGATTGTGTTATATTATAGAGATTCGTTTTGCGTGCTGAAGTTTTCTTTTTTTTTTTGCTGTGTGTGTAGGAAATTATTTCTAGTCATGTTAAATAGTGAATGCAAATCCCAATATGTCAAAATCCCAATAAAACAATTCACATATAAAGCAGCATGAATACAAATTGCTAACACCAACCTGATTGATCATTTGTCCTAGTACAGCACTCCAGCGGCTTTTTCACAACAAAATGTCAGCATGTTAAGGTGCTTACGTTTTCCATCCAAATGAATGAAATGTAAAGTGCATATATAATGATATATCCATATAAACAAACACACAGGTATTTATATTATATTCCAAATGCTCACCTCCTTGCAAAAGTTTTGTGTTGACTCTCTCTCCAGGGAATTACCTTCAACGTTTTCACGAGATATAAACCTTGCTTCTTCTTCCAATGCATCCTTCCTACTACGTTTTCTCATCATTCTTCTAGACGAGCTATTGGAGATAGCCTTAAACTGATCATCTTCGGCAATGACCTTACTGTTATTATTTAAATCACCAGAAGTTCCTTCCTGCTGCAGCTTTTGCAACTTCTCAACTTCTTCAGAAAGAGCTTCATCTGCCAAAAGTTCACACCCAAATCCTCAACAGGAAAGAATTGATAAAAATGAGATAAATTTAAGGACAGGGATGCAGGGAAGGATAGTGTGGTGAACTTACAATCACAAATCACAACACACTAAAACATAATCGATCAGCAGTGTTGAATAAAGATTCCCACCAAAGTTCCAAAGAAAAAGATTAACTACGCAGATATCATAATGGTAAACCTTGCCTTACTTCTTCAATAAGGACTTAACCAGAAAATATGAAAAGTAACTAAAACAATTTCAGACTCTACGGACATGCCAAAAAACTGAAGTTGGGTTACCCAAAATTCTCATGCAAGTCATAACAAATCTGAAAGATTAATAACTTACTAAAATTTTGTTTTTTGGAATGAAAAAGTAAATAACTTACAAACTTCAAAGAACCATGAATATCTCATTGAAAGGAAAGATCCGGTTTACCAAGCCAAAAGAGGAAATATTTCCTGATATAAGAACATTTTTTAATCTGATAACCTATCTGATGGTAACAGAAAAATTATATTGAAATAGAAATGTTGGGAATAGCCCTCACAGCAGTATCTCAGACCCATAGGCCTGAATTCACAACAATCAACATAAAAAATTAGACACAGCCCTTACAAACAAGGAAAGACCAAGTCACTAAGCAAGATGCAACAGATTATGATGAGCAATCTGCTACTACACAGGAAATACACCTTCAGCTCCATCCACAAGAAATATAATCTTGCAGAGCTCCCAGACCTCACCTCCAACTTCTTGATTCGCAAAAGATACCCTCACATTTCCCCCCAGACTATAACTACCCGAGCCACCACATCAGCCTCACCATTAAAGGCCTGCCTCTCTTTTTAACAACATCTATTCTATTATCACTGTTAGGGATTGCCCCCTCAACACCTGGCTGATGGGTTTGGATCCCACTTCTGCCCTTCTTTTTATATATATTCTTCATATACCCTTCACTATGTAATATCAACGACTATGTTAACAACAATATACCATTTAAAGTTTGAAGTTTGAAGTTTGAACAAGTAGGAAAATAATTGCCTATTTTTCTTTCAGGTAAGTAAATGCCAAGCAGAAGGAACAAGGGAATGCAAAATGTTTACATGTGAAAGTCTACAATAAGATTAATTCACACACCCAGAAACCAAGACTGCAGGCATCAGGTGTAAAGAGAAACAAAGCCAGTGAAAAGGACATAAAGAAAATCTTACAAAATTAAAAGAGTTATGCTTTATTACACTAAAATAATACACCATAAAAGCAACAATCACATTTTGTAAATAAGAAAAATAATACCCATTAGTCTTCTTTGGATGTGGTAGAAAAAAAATAGATCAGACACATTCACACGAAAATTCTTTTATTTAAGCAACTTGCGCTATATTCCATCCACAAAGAATAGGTGAATTTTTTTTTTAATTATTGAATAAGAAAAAATAAATTTTACATCTCAAACCATTAAGAAAATACAGGAAGACATCGCTTGATCAGTATGACAACAAATTAAGATCTTGTAAGAAGTATTATTTACAACAATTACTTTGATCATCTCTGAGGGCATCATGAACTATATAATCTTTCTTTTGTCAACATCTGTACTATAATTATTTAACAAGTATTTCAAGATCCACAAAAATGATTCAGAGTCTCACTTTTCTTGCTTTCCTCCATTAAAAGCCTCTGATATTCGGCCACTTGTTTGTCTTTGGCAAGCCTGGCACGAAAGTAACATATTTGAGTCTTCTACGCAGGATCCACCAGTATAAATAAACAAAACAAATCAACAAAACTATGCAGTAAAAAATCTTTAAAAAGAAGAAGAAGAAGCTGGAATGTGGAATACATGCCTAACCGAAGCCACTTCACTTATCAGGTCATTGACTTTTTCATGCAGCTGGTCATTTTCACTCTTCAAGTGCTCTATCAACTCTTCTGCAGCTGCAATATGGGGGTAAACAATAAGACAAACTAATTCACACAGCGCAGATTACACTTCCTATATAAATATTAGTGCTTAAGTTTTCTGAATCTTCGTACCAATAAAGATTAGTAAAACCATGAATTCCTTGTATACTCCAAAGAATACAAAAGCTATGCCCCAACTATGGGACACTGCTCAAACCACTAGCTTGTTCCATGTTTTTGAAGATTAAAAGGTCAAAATTAAAAAAACAAGTAGAGAACAAGAATAGGAGTAGCCACATGAAAAAAAACCAGGTTATAAAGAAGTCGTTGACGTCCTCCTTCACATGGGTTTTCAAATGCAGGAGCACAGGACCAAAATTCAGAATGTAATAGCAAATACTTCCAAGAATTTCTGTTATCATAGACTGCAGTCTTTCAAAAGTTCCAAATGTGAAAAAGAATAAAGAAGATACATACCAGACAAATAATTCATAAATTTATCTTCTTGTTCTTTATTTAGCTGATCCAACTCAGAGAGTTTCTTAGTCTGGAACAAGAGAGAAAACTAAGAGTCAATAATAAATCCTAAAAATTTGTATCTGGCTGCTGTTTCATTCACCAGATGAAATATCAATTACATTCACCATTTTCATCATTAAATACATTACTGAATAACAAGAAAACAATTGAAGTAACTGTCTAAACAAAAGAACAAAGAAAAGTAAATATTAAACACCTCAAAGTCAAAACACAGGCTTCCCTTAGCATCAACTTCAAGGTTATCAAGTATTTTTGGAATAGATTACAAAACTATGTACTTTGCATCAATATCAAAGTAAAGATGAGAGAGAGAGAGAGCGACCTTGAGTTTGATGTACTTATCATAGAGCTTTGAGTACAGAACCTCCATTTTACAAAACGGCAGAGAAAGCAGTTGTTGGAAAGAGAATTCCAGTTGGGAAACAACGAGAATCCAAAAGGATAAAGTTGGGCTTGCAGCTTCTGTTTCACCCCAATGAACAAAGAAATTAAATGTAAAAATGAGTCATGAATTCAACTAGAGGTCCTAGTACAAAGTAAAAAATAGAAAGAAAAACGAAAAATTTAATTCCTAAATTCAATCAGAATAATTCCTAAATTCTTAAATTAAACAAGTCTCAGAACTTAAATACATAAAAAAATTTGGTTTATAATAAATTGGTCCAACTAATTCATTTAGGGAGATTTCGCATGATATAGTTCCCAAGGTAAATTCATACTAATTTGGTACCATATATATAGTTCTTCTCAGTGAACTTTTAACCCATTTTAGTTATAAAAAATGTATTCCCTTTTCTGTCCTTTCTTTTCAACCTGGGTGTCATGTTTAAGAATAAATAGTTCTAGGATTAACCTCTAACATACATCCCTTAACTCTGAATTTGTTCTCAATTTAACAAAATTTCTCTCCCCAAATTCCAATGGGCTACTAGTCGGATAATAAGCAAATACCATCACCAGTCTTGAGCTCATCTCACAGCACTTACAATATTAGAATTTGAATATAAAGTGTCGTCATGAAAATTTCAGGCCCCACAGATTTCTTCCTTCTTCCTACTTCAACTCAGTTTAAAGACTCATAATCCCAGAAAGAAAAAAAATATCACAGAAGCATCAATAACTAAAACCATAATGAGCCATTTCATCTCTTTACAAGCCAACTGTCAAGCAAGTGTCTTAAACTACCATTAACAGAACCCTTCCAGAACAAGTAAAACAAAGTTAGTTTAATTGATTCCATCAGTAAAACAAAGCTAGTTCAGAACTTAATCCCATCATACATGCACATCGTCAAGCAGATGGAGTGCAAGGAGTAAAAACTTGATTTTTTTTCCAATTTAATCCCCAACCCAAAATTCAGGGCACATTACTCTACAAAACCCAACAAAAAACTATACGAGGATCTCAGAATCATGAATGCAAAGTCAAAACCAAGTAAATCCGAAATTTTCTTCCATTCCTCTCATGCATGCAAGTTATCAAACAAGTAGAGTGCATAACGGAGATTCTCTATTTTTGCTCCAAAAACCCATCAACCGTGGGACATCTACTGCATAACTCAATTTCCTACTCGTGGCAGTGCTCATGAAACCCCAAAATTTCCCAACTATTGCAACCATGAAATTTTCGGAGAGAGTACGAAATAGGTACAACGAGAGAGTTCATGGGATTAGCTTGTTACCTCAAATGCCGACAAGATGAGAACGTGATTCGATTCGATTCGGTTCTTCTTCCGGTGGCTCGAAGCTGAAGTTTCTTACTCTTCTATGCCTGAACGATCTGTCGTAACGTTGAGAGAGGGAATAATTAATTACAAGTTAAATTCAAAATTAAAAAAAATGAAAAAAAAAAATTGTGCTATTCTTTAAAAGAATATGAATTAAAGTTTTTAATGATTTTGAAAGAAATAAAGTTTAAGTTAATATGTAAAAGTAAATAATATTAATAATAAGTAATATTATCATTATTAATTAAATTCTTAACTAGTAGCTTCTAACTTAAAATTTAGGAAGATGTTACACAAATATCAATGAATTTTTCTTAATTGTGTGCTTGAAATAAATTAATAGTTGGAGGATAGCTTTGAGATGATACTTCCTAAAGTGATAAACATAAGTTTTAGGTTTTATGCCTCCGATATGTATACGATGTGAAAAGATAGTATCCGTTCTTCTCAAAGTGGTATCTGACAGGGTTTTCCGGGATACTAATAGCAATGTTATTAAACCTGGCCCGATTATTAACCCGATTGAGGTATTGAGTCACTGGTTCAACCAGTGGGTCACTGGTTCAACCGCATGACCCAGTAAGTATATATAAATCTTCAATTTATATTTAAAAAATTATAAATATACTTAAATACTTGTTAAAAAATTATATCAATTTCAAATATTTTAACATGAAAATAATAAATTATACATCATTGTCCAACAAAAGATCAATCAAACATATAATATTTATGATACTAGTGTTTCAGGTTTAGTAAACGACATTCACTAATTATAAATCAAATCAAAATTCTCTGCATATTGCATAATCAAGATAATATTAGTGTTGTAGTCTTGTAGGCTCTGAAGCACGGACACTGCTTTTTTGGGGGATAATGTGTGTCGGACACCGACACGTTCCGACACGTAGTCAACTTTTTAGGACACATTGACTAGGGGGACACGCGATTTTGACAAAATCCGACACGCGGTCAACATATTTGGACACTTTTTGGGACACGTTTTGATCTTTTTTGTAAAAATAAAAAAAATTACAATTTACAAAAAATGGAAAAATATTTAATAAAAATTAAAAAATTTAGAATGTTCTGTCTTCATGCTGGACGGTGAGGCTGCTACTCCTTTTCTTCTTCGTCATCTCCGTCGCCCTGCTACTCCTTCTCTTCTCCATCATCTCCGTCGCCTCTCGCCTCATATCTACTTGATATAACATCCTACCCATGTACCTTAAACTCATGCCCAGAATTGAATGTAGCCTTTTTTTTTATACTGAAAATAGTCTTTATCTTTCTTGCTTTCTGAAATACAAATGCTAGAGAAAAGCTCTCGTTGGATTTTGGATTTGAGAAGTTTGAAATGGATTTTCGAAGAAACAAAGAACCATGGGCACAATTCTGCGAGTGAAGGACACATGTCGGTCGCATTAAAAAGGTTTACAACAAGCTAACGCCACGTACGATTTTTAAACTTTACGTTATTTTGTTTGTTTGTTTTTTAGTACATTTATGTTATCTTGTTTAGTTTTTGTATTATTGTATTAGGCTTTGTAGTGGAAGATATTTTGGAGGATCGTGGATTGATGGCGTATAGATTTCAAACTTATGCTTTCAACTATATCAAGCCAGGTACCAGGAACAGAAAGTACAAACTATTTTGCTTGGGAGCATATAAGTTACTCTTGCGATGTTCTATTATTTTTCTTAATATTTGTGTTATAAAATTTGAATATTTGATTAGTTATATGACTTATTATAAGTTGTTATATGTATTAAATATAAATTATATTATATATATTAAAAATATTATTTAATATCAAAAAGTATCCTAGCGTGTCGAAATTTAGCATTTTTTAGAATTAACGTGTCGGAGTGTCGTGTCGTGTCGATGTCGGTGCATCAGAGCTTGTAGGTACATAATCTATGTAAGTTAATAAGCTACAAATCACTCAAATATTTCAAAAGAAAATAAATCATTAGTGTTTGAAAGTAAAAAAAAGAATATAACAATTGATGAAAATAAATTAATTTTTATATATATATATATATAGATCGGATCGGGTCAACGAGTGAACCGACCAGGTCACTTGTTTTTATGAAAATCGGCCGGGTCACACCGGTTCTATAACATAGCTGGTCCAATATGAAAACCGGACCGGTTACATGACCGGTTCACCGATTTTCGGATCGACTCGGCCAGAACGATCCAGTTTTTATAACACTGACTAATAGCAACTTTGAGAAGATGTGTGCACGCTAGGAAGAGATGTTTTGATGATGGCCAAATTTGATGATTTGTGACTGGTAGGGTTTCCTGGGTCTCAGTGTAGACTGGCAGATTTTTTTCGATCTACCATGTTCTCTTTCCACTAAATGTACTAAATGAACTTAAACATGATTAATAATGGCCTTGATACTTGATTATGATTAAGTTATATTTGGATTATTGCTTGATAATTATTTATTAATATCGTGATTAATGTTGAGATGATTATACTAATATTTGAGTTATATTTTGTATTGATACTTAATTTGATTATTATGTCATATTTAATAATGTATTTGAATATTTTGTGAATAATTGAGTTATATCTATTGTATGTTGGATTGAGATTGCCAGCTTTTGCTGATTGTTTGTCTTTGTACTTATTGTTGCAATGATCCGTCGGGGAGCAGATTTTCAGTAAAGCAGGTTGCAAAGTTTGGTGTTGTGAGTAGTAAGGATAACATCTCAGACATTTCAAACTAGGCTTATGATTTATAAATGTATTAGATATATTTAGATTCTGAATTTATATTTTAAATTTTTAAATATTTACATTGAATATATATATTTTGGAATAAGATTATATTTTAGTTAGCCTTGCACTTGTTGTAACAGCCCCAAACCCTGTAGCAGGATATTGTCTGCTTTGCCCCGCGCACAAGCACCGTCGAGCTCACGGTTTTACGTTTCGGGTTACCCCAAAAGGCCTCCTACAAGGAAAGATATCCACACCCTTATTTAAGGCATGCTTCGTTCTCCTCTCCAACCGATGTGGGACATTACATCCTCCCCCCGCTGTACACACCGGTCCAGGGCCAGGCTCTGATACCAAATGTAACAGCCCCAAACCCTGTAGCATGATATTGTCCGCTTTGCCCCGCGCACAAGCACCGTCGAGCTCACGGTTTTACGTTTCGGGTTACCCCAAAAGGCCTCCTACAAGAAAAGGTATCCACACCCTTATTTAAGGCATGCTTCGTTCCCCTCTCCAACCGATGTGGGACATTACACTTGTCTATGTTACAGTTACGACGATAACATTTCTCCAAATTGATTTTAATTTAGCTTCTGCAATATTTATGTAATCTTATTAAATAATTTAAATATTTTTTTAACAATTTCTCTATTATAGGAGGGGAAGGATATACTTACCATAAAAAAAGTTTACAACCTTTATAAATTATAACTAACCTAATCACCATTGATTTCCGTCAATCTAATGATTATAATTTATTGTAAATTATTAAATTGCATTTATTAATTAATTACTAATTTCCAATAAATTATAATCGTTAGATTGACAGAAATCAATGGTGATTAGGTTGGTTGTAAATGTTGTAAACTTTTTTGGGTAAGTATATCCGGCCCCATTATAGGAATATTTTATTATTGTTAAAAATTTAGGGGTGTTGCATCTGGTTACCGACAGATTATTTTAGAAAATGATTCTTCCTGTAATCACTGTGCTCAACAACACTAGTGCAACAACTTATGAGGGTCATATGATCCTTCGTATATAGAAAAGGATCAAAAGAATTGGACTCTTAGATTCCAACACACATACACGAGAAAGAAATGTATGTGCTGATTGTATGGCAAATTATATCATAAACACCAATGACGATTTGCAGTATTTTTTTAGCGACGAGCGGCCAATTGAAATTCGTTTGATTTACTTGGCCGACCTGGCTGCCGTGAGCAGACCACGAGTGCTGGTTATGAGCTTTGTTTTAGTGGACCAGGTACACATGATCCATTCCAAAAGTAGCAAAAGACAAGGGAGTTGGAGAGAATTTTCAAAGAAGTGTTGAGATATATAGTCTCACATTGGTTGTATGAGCAACTAATGTGGAGTTTATATGGTCTTGGGCACTCCCACCCTTTGAGCTAGCTTTTGGGGTGGTGTATCTCAAGGTTCTTTACATGGTATCAGAGCGTCGCCGCCCCCCACTTTCTCTTGTGGGGTTTCTTAGCACAGGTAGGTTAGGCCTGTTGCATTGTCCACTCTTCAAGCCCAATGGACTCTCGTGTGAGGGGACGCGTTGAAATATATAGTCTCACATTGGTTGTATGAGCAACTAATGTGGAGTTTATAAGGCTTTGGACACTCCCACCCTTTGAGCTAGCTTTTGGGGTGGTGTATCCCAATATTCTTTACAAGTAAGGGACAAAAAGGAAAGCCAATTTCTCCAAAAATGGAAAAAGGACCTCCCTAAAAAAATAGACCCGGATCACTTTAAAAAACCCCGCTGGTTATTCAATAGGACTTTGTTTTTTTTTTTCCCCTAGCTTTGGCCCTTTTATTTATAAAAAGAGAGAGAATAAATCAAAATTATTAATTTCAGAATAGTTTAAAAATCATCAGATTGTTATGGTCAAAATGAACCTCGAAAAGAAGTTAATAAGCCATTATGATTAAGCTGATTTTTATTATTGTTATAATTGTTATTTTTATTATTTTGCAGAAGGTACCAACATAACAAAAATGATATTAATAAAAATATTAAGATATTTATTAGAATTTTTGAATTGTCCTTGTTTAATGTGTATTATTTCTAAAGAAGTAAACACATAATCAAATAGGAATAATAATTAAGTTAAATAAGAAAGTTAATGATCGTAAACTTTTTTTTTTTTTTGTTAATTGATTATTATTATTTCTATTAAGAGGAGAACAAGAATGTTTTATTTATGCCTTACCCTTGTTTGTGACTTGTGAGTTTAAAAAAATGGGGAAAGAGAATATGGAATTTTTGTAAAATCTTCTAATATCTTTTTCATCCTTAAAATTAGAGTTCCCCCAATTTGGGGGGATTGAGAAGAATTTT